CAGATGACATCTAGTGGTCGCCCTATAGATGACACCTGTCTGATCCATTAATACAGTGGCTGGACCCAGCTTCCATCCGGATGGATGACATCTAGTGGTCACCCTACAGATGACACCTTGTTCCAGTGATACAGTGGCTGAGCACCAGGGACAGGTCTTAAATGCCCCATGCGCTTTAATATGCGCTATCTGGTTAGTGCATTATTTGACTATCTCTTATCATCTCTGAAAGTTATTACTTTTGGTTCCTTATATACTGGAGACTGTATGCATACTCAGCACATTTGATGAACTTACGCTGACATTTCACTGATCCACAATCACATGTGGTCTATCATATGTTTAGTCACTATTTGGGTTAGCGCTGCACTTTCATTTTTTTTATCATTTACTCTGGAGGTTCTCGAGGTGCCTTTTTGTGCCAGCAGCTACCCTATTCACATCTATACACTGTGCTGATTTTATATATAGATTTTATATATATGTTTATTTATCCCTGCATGCATTAGCTGCTTGACCCATGAAGCAGAGTACATGGACACTGGAACTGGTGGACTGCAAATGTAACCAGAGCCCTTTAATGTGTTTCAGTGCCCCAGACTGACAGATTAGCTGTACACTTACAGTTTGAACCACCGATCCCCTACAAGGTTCTTCTAGGGGCAGCTGTACAAGACCTCTGCATCCTAATTCCCAGCTCTGGCCACCTCCTATGATCATGATGGGAAAGCCAAACTTTCTTTTTTTTTGTTTGATTGTTTGTTTATTGTACATTGAGATGATACGCCAGGAGCACTGAGGTCCATTTTATGGTAGTGCAAAGAAGAATAATCCATCAGACAGTTTCCTTCACTCGAGTCCTCGAGAGATGAAAGGTGCTAATGGGTAATGGAGTCTGCTAACTTTCACCCACATCTGACCCTTTGAAAGGAACCTGTATAAATATGAATATGACATTTGCTATTGCTGACTTGGGTTTCCATGCTCTGAGGCTGTCATCTTTACAAAGAACATTATTGACCCAAAACAAGCAGGCACGATATGAGTTTAGGCATTTCAGTCTCCACTGGCTCCTTGTTTGTTACTGAGTAGCTAGTGAAGGACACCCCGAGGACTTCTAGCTTTATAATCAAACCAGCCTTGGCAGCTCCAATATTTCTACTCAAACCAATTCACTTAAGTTATATAATCATTACAATACAGACTGTTCTCTAGCATTTTCTTTTTTCCATCTGTGTTCTCTTCTGTATATTTTTATGTGCTCTGCAAACCCAGCAGGCTCCATTTCTGCTCCTAATGAATTATGAAGCCCCTTGCAGACGTCCATGAGTTATGTTCCTCTGTGGTCCGCTTACAAAATGCTTCATGTTTCTGCTTGCCACTTATGAAATTTTTTGCCTTGAAAGGCATTGCTTTTCCATACAACACCATTTCACAGTACACGTTATTACTGAAAGTGCCCTTGGCACAGTTTAATTTACAACTAGTGAAAAGAAAAATATATTGCAAATACCGCTCTGTTCTCCATTGAGAAATTTTTTTTTTTGCATGTGGATTTTAATTATTTCCCACCTTACATATCACCAACATTTTGTGTATTTGTTTGCAGAATTACCTCCTACCCTTTATAGCATTCCCTTCTTTAGTGGAGCCTTTATTTTTACATTTTATCACAGTCACAGGGTCACCTTGAAGTTGATAAATCATATTTTTTCTTTGGAATTGGAGAAACTAAGGCTGCCAGACTATGGGAAATCTGTATGTCACTGCCTATCCTGACAGCCAATCAAAAAAAGAGCCAGGGTGGATGGTGGATTAGTGGTCAAAAGGGTTCAGGGTTCAGTTACCAGTAGTGCCTCTTTCTGCATGAAGATTCTAGTTTATTCTGTCTTTTTGCAAACTCCAAGGGGGCTTTTCATGTGTTTTTTCAGGAGGAGATGCTTCTGTCTAGATACTCTGCCATAAAGCCCAGATCAGTGAGGGGCTGCAGTGATGGTTGTCCTTCTGGAACTTTGTCCCATCTCCACACAGGATCTCTGGAGCTCAGTCAGAATGACTATCGGGTTTTTTGGTCCCTATATGGAAGAAAAATATATTTGAAATATATTTTAAAAATATTCTTCCCAAATATATTGCCATATATTTGAAATGCTACAATTTTGGCCATATTCAATATATTTCAAAATATATTTCCATAAATATATATATATATATATATATATATATATATATATATACTACATTTTTATTACAACATATATGAAAAATATTTTTTAAAATACATGTCAAATATACTGTATGTCTTAAAAAATACAAATCTACATTTTTGGAAGGCATTTACAAATATATGTAAAAATATATGTTAAAATTACTTTTTTATAAAAAAAAAAAATCTGAAGAATATATTTAAATTTTTTTTTTAAAAATGAGGCCCTTCTACCCCGATTGCTCAGTTTGTCTGGGCGACCAGCTCTTGGAAGAGTCCTGGTCAGGGGTGGACTGACCATTTGGAAACTCGGGCCCTGCCCGAGGGCCCGAGGGCCCGGGGTCAGTAGGGGGCCCCATGAGATGCCCTGGTACCTTTTTTATTAGGCTTTTTGAGTTTGGGCAAGGACACAGGGACCCCATGATCCCCTATTGCCTGGGGGCCCCATGAGTTGTCAGTCCCCCCCTGGTCCTGGTTGTGCTAAACTTCTTCCATTTGAGAATTATAGAGGCTACTGTGCTTTTGGGAGCCTTCGGTGCAGCAGAAATTTTGCTGTAGCCTTCCCCAGATCTGTGCATTGCGATAATCTGGTCTCTGAGCTCTGCAGGCAGTTCCTTTGACCTCATGGCTTTTGCTCTGATACAGTATGCATTGTCAGCTGTGAGGTCTTTTATAGAGAGCGTGGCTTTACAAATCACGTCCAATCAATTAAATTTTCCACAGGTGGACTCCACTCAAGGTGTAGAAACATCTCAGCAAGGATCAAGGAAAACGGCAGGCACCTGAGCTAAATTTCAAGTGTTGCTGCAAAGGGTCTGAATACTTATGCCAATGTGATATTGCAATTTCTCTTTTTTTCATAAATTTGCAAACATTGGGTACTGAGTGTAGATAAAGGAGAAAATAAAATAATTTAATCAGCTGTAGTATCCGGCAACATGACAAAATTGAAAAATGTGAAGGGGGTCTGAATACTTTATGAACGCACTGTATATTGGGTTTTTATTTTATGCTACAAGTCTCTTTCTTTTAGGTTAAACTGCTTTTTTTTTTTCCGGCAAGACTCCCCTAAAAAAAGTGGACTTTTATTTCAAAGGTTATTCAAGTTATTATTTTGGGTTTGGGTTTTTATTTATCTTGAGGGAATATTGATTTTTATTGTATGTTTAGGTGGTCTTTTTTCAAGTTAACTTCTTTTTTTTTCAGTCACCTAAAGGCTCCATACACACTAGCTTAAAAAAATGCTCCTTGCGCAGATTTTGAGCATTTTTTTTTTCCTGCGTCTAGAAGCAAATAGTGGGGTTGATTTACTACAGGCAAAAAAGACCTTGCACCTTTGCAAAGTGCAGTTGCTCCAGAGCTTAGTAAATGAGGTACAGTTTCACTTTGCAAAGAATACCCAATCACATACAGGGAAAATAAAAAAAACAGCATTTTTGCTTGCATGCGATTGCATGAGGAAAGTTAACAGAGCTTCTGCTCATTTTCTAAGCTCTGCAGCAACTGCAAAGTGCACAGTCTATTTGCATTTAGTAAATCAACCTCTATGTTATCCTATGGGGTTGACTTACTATAGGGAAAATAGACTGTGCACTTTGCAAAGTGCAGTTGCTGCAGAGCTTAGTAAATGAGGTAAAGCTTCACTTTGAGCAGGGCCCTCGAACCCCTCGTGTTTTGTATTGTTACTGTCTTGTCTCATGTTCTATCCCCCACTATAATGTACAGCGCTGAGCATACCCTTTGGCGCTATATAAATACTGTATAATAATAATAATAACTTTGGAAAAAATATCCAATCACATGAAAGGAAAATTAAAAAAACCCAGCATTTTTTCTTGCACATAATTGGATGATGAAATTCAGCAAGCATATGCTCATTTATTAACCTCCCTGGCGGTATTCCCGAGTGTAGCTCGGGGTAAAGTTTCAGTACCACAAGCGGTAACCCTGAGCTACACTCGGGCTTACCATGTGGCTCTGCTCCGCGATCCCTTGATCACTTACCTTGTCCTGCGCTCCCACGATGTCCCTCCTGCAGTGTCCCTGGCAATGTAATCCGGCGGATCCCGGCATCTGTCTTCTGGGTTCCGTCCCCTGCGAGCGTTGGGACATACGGGGGACGGAACGGCAGGAAATTTGAAAATGACAAAAAGTGACATTCACTAAATACACTAAAATCACATAGTAAAACATTACTGTATCAAACCATTTCACATACATTTTGTCCCGAGTGCTTTGTCCTGTGCCCTGCCTGCATTTTTACCGTTCTTTCTGCCTGGAAACTGAGAAATGTCCATGGCGTCCAAAAAGTGTCCCTTTAGGTCAAAAGCGGTTTTAGACCAGCTAGAGAACAGTGATAGTAAATCAGAACCACTTGCAGAATTGAGTGATAATGATTTGTGGGGAAATTCGTCATCAGACACTGAAAATGATTCTGCGACTTTGCTCAGCAATGTACGAACTTGGCGCTCTATTTCAAATTTCAGTGCTTTTGGTTTGATTATATTATTGAATTAAATGTATTATTATATTATTATTTTTTATGATTATTTATTAGATTATAATTTATGATTTTGTGTTTCAAGTTTTATCATACCCGGGATGTTTACCAGACTCTTGTTCGGACAGATTTCAGTGAGTTATTCCTAAGAATTACAGGCCTACAATAAAAAAACCAACATATTTCCATGCAAAAAAATGTATCGCTTTCAGCACAGAAATATGGACATAATCAGACCGCTAAGGAGGTTAAGGGGCGCACTGCCTGCCCAAGGGTAATTTAATAAATTAGCATACCCCACTTCTCCTCTTGGTACTTAGTCCAGAATGATGTCTAGGAAGTGTTTAAGCGCACCTGCCATGAAATAGGTACAAGGGTAGTCACTGCCAGGGGCGGACTGACAACTCATGGGGCCCCCAAGCAATAGGGGATCATGGGGCCCCTGTGTCCTTGCCCAAACTCAAAAAAGCCTATGAAAAAGGTACCAGGGGCATCTCATGGGGCCCCCTAATGATCTCGGGCCCTCGGGCTGTGCCCGAGTTTCAAAATGGTCAGTCTGCCCCTGGTCACTGCTGCCCTCTTTAAAATTTTAAATTCTTACTGTCAAGCAGGGGGGCCATTTGGAAACTCGGCAATGCCCGAGGGCCCGGGGTCAGTAGGGGGCCCCATGAGATGCCCCTGGTACCTTTTTCATAGGCTTTTTTGAGTTTGGGCAAGGACACAGGGGCCCCATGATCCCCTATTGCCCGGGGGCCCCATGAGTTGTCAGTCCGCCCCTGCTGTCAAGCTTTTTGTTTGGCTTTAATATTTTCTGAGTCATTGAACCCCAAGAAGGTGGTAAATAAGTGAGAAAAGTGCGAGAATTTCTTATTTCTATAGTTGTTCCAGGACAGTGCTGATACGGGTGTTGCAGAGCAGCTTCATGACAGTCAGGCAACTGGAATTTTCAAAGGGAAGACTATCCCCAGTTGCATCCTTCACAAATCTCTCATGGGAGGTGTACTTCAAATGACTTTCCATACACAAGCTAGAAATATGACACATACACTATTGATAGCAATATCCAAGTCAACAAATAAGACAGTAAGAGAACACAGCCATCCAATCACAGGTTACCCAGCCATCTACAGAACAAGAAATGGCCGAAAACCAACAAAATATGTTCATTTTAAGACTGGACACAGAAAGCAAAAGGAAAAGCCATTTATCCAAAGCAATGAGTCACAGCAAGCAAGCTGCCAACTACATAATCATCTAGAATTGCCACTGACTTGCCATTTCAGTGATGTATAAATAAGGGAATGACATGTCTGCCATCCATTCATTCTCTGTCCTCCGCACAAATGCTCTGTACCCAATAATTGGCTGCGATGCACTGCAGAATCTTTAGCCGTCAGAGTCAAGTGAGGACTGAAAATTGTCATTTATGTTAAAAACATATACTCAGAGCACTGACTCCTGCTGGCATTTAGCACACTTATTACAAATAGTCTTTAAAAGACTAAACTGCCATTTTACCATGTATGCAGAGGAAAGGAGATCTGCTCATTGCACAAAGTACCGGCTCTCTAAATACTGAGTAAGATGGAACGAGTTCAGAATGAGATTATTATTATTATTATACAGTATTTATAAAGCGCCAATAGTTCGCTCAGCGCTGTACATTACAAAGGGAGACAGAACATGTGACAGAACAATACCAATACAATGCAAAACATGAGGGGATCGAGGGCCCTGCTCTTTAGAGCTTACAATCTAGGAGGGAGGGGTCAGTGGCACAGGAGGAGATAGCTGTGGGGGATGGAGTGGTAGGAAGTGTGGAGGAGGTCGGCAAGTTAGCAGGGGGTGGGGTAGGCTTCCCTGAAGAGATGGGTTTTCAGGGTGCGCCTAAAGGAGAGGAGAGTAGGTGATAATCTGATGGGTTGGGGCAGGGAGTTCCAGAGGATGGGTGACACCCTGGAGAAGTCCTGGAGGCGGGCATGGGAGGAGGAGACCAGGGAACTAGAGAGAAGGAGGTCTTGTGAGGAGCGGAGTGTGCGTGCTGGGCGGTACTTGGATATTAGGTCAGAGATGTAGTACGGGGCAGTATGGTGGACAGCTTTGTACGTCAGCGTTAGGATTTTGAATTTGATCCGTTGCGCAATCGGAAGCCAGTGGAGGGATTGGCAGAGGGGGGTGGCGGAGACAGAGCGGTTGGAAAGGTGAATGAGTCTGGCAGCCGTGTTCAGGATGGACTGAAGAGGGGATAGCCAGCGGCGAGGCAGGCCAGTGAGGAGGGAGTTGCAGTAGTCGAGTCGTGATATGATGAGGGAGTGGATGAGCTGTTTAGTGGTTTCTGGGGTTAGGAACGTGCGGATTTTGGCGATGTTGCGGAGGTGGAGTCTGCACGAGTTTGTTAAAGATTGGACTTGGGGCTGGAAGGATAGGTTGGAGTCCAGAATGACACCCAGTACTCTGGCCTGCAGGGCGGGTTTGATGGTAGCGTTGTTGGATGTGATGGAGAAATCAATGGGGGGGGTGGTGTCCGGGCTGGGGGGAAGACAAGAAACTCGGTTTTGGAGAGGTTCAATTTAAGGAAGTGGAGCGACATCCAGTCTGATATGTCGCTCAGTAGGTGTGTGATTCGGGCTGAGACCAAGGGGGTGAGGTGGGGGGTTGAGAGATAGATTTGTGTGTCGTCGGCATAGAGGTGGTAGTTGAAGCCGTGAGAGTGTATGAGTTGGCCAAGGGAGGAGGTATAGATGGAGAAGAGAAGGGGCCCGAGGACAGAGCCTTGAGGGACCCCAACAGAGAGGGGGAGTGAGGGGGAGGTGGTAGCATTATAGGTAACGCTGAAGGAGCGTTGTGACAGGTAGGATGAGAGCCAGGAGAGAGCAGAATCTCTGAGGCCGAGGGAGTGTAGTTTTTTTTGAGGAGGAGGGGGTGGTCGACTGTGTCGAAGGCCGCAGAGAGGTCAAGGAGTAGGAGCACTGAATAGTGGCCATTAGCTTTGGCGGTTAGCAGGTCGTTGGAGAGTTTGAGTAAGGCAGTTTCGGTGGAGTGTAGGGGACGGAAGCCGGACTGTAGGGGATCGAGGAGGTTGTTGTCGTTGAGGTGAGAGCATAGGCGGGTGTAGACGAGGCGCTCGAGGAGTTTAGATGTAAATGGGAGCAGGGAGATGGGTCTGAGGTTGTTCGGGTCATTGGGGTCCAGGGAGGGCTTTTTAAGTATGGGGGTGATGTGTGCATGTTTCAGAGGGGAGGGGAAAGTGCCTGAGGAGAGGGAGAGATTGAAGATGTGGGTGAGGGAGCGTAGAATGGAGGAGGAGGAAGGTCGTAGGAGTTGTGAGGGGATAGGGTCGAGGGGGCAGGTGGTGAGGCGGGCATCAGAGAGGATGTTCTGTCATCTTTGTTGTTGTTCCAGGAAGGTTAATTTGTTCCTGAAGAGTTACAGTGCAAAAGTAACTGGATCCTAGTGCTTTTGGCCATTTGGGTGAATCTAATGTATTATTAGTTAAAGTGTTACTAACCCCACAAGAGTAAAATCAGTCTGTGTATGTAGTAAAGCATGCTTGTTATACTCACTGTGGAACCTAAGGGGTTGATCCTCTGCATTGTGTTAAAAAGCTGTTTGATCCTGTCTTCTCTGATCCTCCCCTTCTTCCAGTGTCCCCCTCTTATCTCCTGATAAGACATATCATGTGGAGACACTCTGCACATGCTCAGTTTGGTATGTATTGATAGAGAGGTTTTTTTTTTTCTTGGGTGAGTGCATGTGATCAGCACAGGGCCAATCAGCACTATCCAGACAGAGGTCAGGGGTTCTGCATCCTCCTAGAGCAAAATGAAAAGTCCTCCTACAAGCTTTAACATGTGTTTGGCTGGACGCCGATAGAAGTCACAAGACTGCTCTAACTGCTGATGAGAAAAGGTATTTAGCAGTTTATATTTCCTAAAATAATACATTTCCATGTTCTGTGTACTGTGGGAGACCAGATATAGTGAATGCAGGGTGCGGGGAGACCAGATATAGTGGATGCAGGGTCCGGGGAGACCAGATATAGTGAATGCAGGGTCCGGGGAGACCGGATATACTGAATGCAGGGTCCGGGGAGACCAGATATAGTGAATGCAGGGTTCGGGGAGACCGGATATAGTGAATGCAGGGTCCGGGGAGACCAGATATAGTGAATGCAGGGTCCGGGGAGACCAGATATAGTGAATTCAGGGTCCTGGGAGACCAGATATAGTGAATGCAGGGTCCGGGGAGACCAGATATAGTGAATGCAGGGTCCGGGGAGACCGGATATAGTGAATGCAGGGTCCAGGGAGACCGGATATAGTGAATGCAGGGTCCGGGGAGATCGGATATAGTGAATGCAGGGTCCGGGGAGACCAGATATAGTGAATGCAGGGTGCAAGGAGACCAGATATAGTGAATGCAGGGTCCGGGGAGACCAGATATACTGAATGCAGGGTCCGGGGAGACCAGATATAGTGAATGCAGGGTCCGTGGAGACCAGATATAGTGAATGCAGGGTCCGGGGAGACCAGATATAGTGAATGCAGGGTCCGTGGAGACCAGATATAGTGAATGCAGGGTCTGGGGAGACCAGATATAGTGAATGCAGGGTCTGGGGAGACCAGATATAGTGAATGCAGGGTCCTGGGAGACCAGATAGAGTGAATGCGGGGTCTGGGGAGACCAGATATAGTGAATGCAGGGTCTGGGGAGACCAGATATAGTGAATGCAGGGTGCGGGGAGACCAGATATAGTGAATGCAGGGTCTGGGGAGACCAGATATACTGAATGCAGGGTCCTGGGAGGCCAGATATAGTGAATGCAGGGTCTGGGGAGACCAGATATAGTGAATGCAGGGTCCGGGGAGACCAGATATAGTGAATGCAGGGTCTGGGGAGACCAGATATAGTGAATGCAGAGTCCTGGGAGACCAGATATAGTGAATGCAGGGTCCTGGGAGACCAGATAGAGTGAATGCGGGGTCTGGGGAGACCAGATATAGTGAATGCAGGGTCTGGGGAGACCAGATATAGTGAATGCAGGGTCCGTGGAGACCAGATTTAGTGAATACAGGGTCCTGGGAGACCAGATATAGTGAATGCAGGGTCTGGGGAGACCAGATATAGTGAATGCAGGGTCTTGGGAGACCAGATATACTGAATGCAGGGTCCTGGGAGGCCAGATATAGTGAATGCAGGGTCTGGGGAGACCAGATATAGTGAATGCAGGGTCTGGGGAGACCAGATATACTGAATGCAGGGTCTGGGGTTTAGTAACACTTTAAGTCTTGTTCTAAATTATTATTGTAAACAGTGCCGGATTTATAAGGGGGTAAAAGGGGGTAACTGCCCTGAGCCTCCTGACCGAAGAGGTTCCCCTCTATACAAAAAAATATATAAAACATTATATACAATAATAATGAAATAATAACAAATATATAATAATAAAAATGACTTTCTTTTGTTAACTGTAGTTTTCAGGGACCTATCATGTGTCCCAAAAGAGGGAGGGGGGAGGACAACTTCCGCTTCCGATCGCCTAGGCGTTCGCAGCAGAAGTGGGAGCGGGTACCTGTCAAATTCGAGTGCCCGCTCCCCAAAGGTGCCAATCCTTAATGGGGAGCGGGGGGGAGAAAGGCTTAAAGTGGAACTTTCCCTTTTGGGTGGAGGTCCGCTTTAAGGCTATTTACCAGAAATCTAATTTTTTCAACTTTACATGATTGCCAGACCATTCATTTCAACAAATATATGTATATATAAGAATATATGAACATTTAATGTATTTTATGCATATTATTTGTCTGTAAAGCCTCCCTTGTGTAGTTGTCCAAAAGCTCCAAGACTGCTGCAGGGAACACGCATCTTGGATGTGATGTCAGCAACCCCAGCAGACTCAAGTGACATTCATTAGTATTCCCCTTCACTCCTCACCTGAAAGGTTATGTAGGGAGGTGAAAGGCGGGGTAGAGCAGCTGGGTCAGCACAGACAGTAGTTAGTACATTCCCAGCAGCAGATAGGGCTATGAAATGCAAAGAGGGAGGGGCTGTGCTAAGGAACTGAGTCTTCTGAAGTAGTCACATTTAAGTATAATTTAATATAAGCATAATTTATTCTCTCTTGAGAAGAGGAGATTAAGGGGGGATATGATCTCCATGTATAATACATAAGGGGGGGATATGATCTCCATGTATAATACATAAGGGGGGATATGATCTCCATGTATAATACATAAGGGGGGATATGATCTCCATGTATAATACATAAGGGGGGATATGATCTCCATGTATAATACATAAGGGGGGATATGATCTCCATGTATAATACATAAGGGGGGATATGATCTCCATGTATAATACATAAGGGGGGATATGATCGACATGTATAATACATAAGGGGGGATATGATCTCCATGTATAATACATAAGGGGGGATATGATCGACATGTATAATACATAAGGGGGGATATGACTGACATATATAATACATAAGGGGGGATATGATCTCCATGTATAAATACATCAGTGGTTCATATAGTGAACCCAGTGTACAGCTATTCACCCTGAGGTCATCACAGAGGACAAGGGGGCACTCTTTACAGCTGGAGGAAAATAAATTTAATCTATAAACACAGAAAGGTTTCTTCACAGTAAGAGCTGTGAAAATGTGGAATAGACTCCCTCAAGAGTTGGTTCTGGCCAGCTCAGTGGATTGCTTTAAAAAAGGCCTGGATTCTTTCTTGGATACACAGAATATAACTGGTTACTAACATTTATAGGTAAAGTTGATCCAGGGAATATCTGACTGCCTCTCGGGGGATCAGGAAGGAATTTGTTTTCATGCAGGAGCAAATTGGATCATGCTTTACTGGGGTTTTTTTTTGTCTTCCTCTGGATCAACTGTGGGTGTAGGACTATAATTTTTTTTTTTCTTTAATGGTTGAACTGGATGGACTTTTGTCTTTTTTTCAGCCAGACTAACTATGTAATTTAAAAACAAATGGATATTTCAAGAGCCTTTAAAGACAAGTCAACAAACATGGTAAAAACACTGATTACATAAGTGTCTATTTTATTGGCTTGATTCACGCAACCAGATATGCCAGACAGGTGAAACTTGGCCTAAAAACATTCACCAATAGCTTTTTATCTGACTAATCTATTGTAACTCCAGCAGGAAGCAGTAGCGTGATTGTCAGGAGTCAGAGGAATTTCACTGTGACAGGCATTCGCTGTGACGCGCAACATTAATAGTGCTGCTGGGCATTTGCCTCAATAACAGTAAATACAAAGTGAGTTTTAAAGTTAGAAAAATTGATTTGGAGTCCTTTGATGGCTCTTTCAGAGAAGAAAGAAGAGTAATTGGTTTCTCCGTGTGATGTGCGCTTTGCTTTATTTGATCAATAATTCCCGATAAGTTATCGCTAGCGAACTGTAGCACAACTGACCTTTTATTAATTATGTTAGTGATGACTCAGTGAGTATTACGGAGCCGACTTGGTTTGAAGAAAATCATAAATATACACTTTGACGCTATTTCTGCAGCCTTTATCCATTTGCTAAGTTGTATATTTCTGGGGAAATAAATAAAGCTGTGTTTGTATAGATTTATATTCCAAGGATTAGAAGAAGTTCTTAGTACAGGAGGTTATGACAAGTTTCACACTGAATTAATTACTGGTTTTCTGCACGGATCTAGAAGAAATACACAAATCACACCAAGATTCAAGGTCCCCTCCCTTCCACTGACCGGATGTAACGTCAAAGCACACGCATAACCTGGAAGTGCTGGTGTTTACTGTGAGTTTTAATGGGTCTGTGCCATTTTTATTTACTGTGAATATATATTAAATAAAAGCGCTTTTGATTTTATGAATTTACTACACTATAGGGATGTTTTATTTTGCATATTCATTTTGGGGGGAAAAATGGTGGATTACTCATCCCATGACCAAGGAGTGTGTTGAGAGGACCCTTTACCAACAAAGAGGGATATGTTAAAAGATCCAGTTTGGGCTGCTGTGATATATACTTGTGTTTTTCATGCATAATAGGGAAGTATGGGTTTCCTAAAAAAAAAAATAATAAAAAAAAGATACGTAGATGTGTAGATGCTGCATCTGTCCCCCCTGCTTCTGAGACTGAGAAGTGAGCAATCAAAGACCAATGATCACTCGGTTCTCAGTCTTCAGTGAGCAGAAAGCCAATGACTGTCAGTCACCTGAGCGCTGGGCTTTAGAAGGTGCGAAAGTGGCTGGCTCGGGCTCCCAGAGGCATATGGTTGGGATCCTTGCAGAGTCTGAATCCTGCTGAAAATGGATCACAGGAGTACAGAACTAACTGCACTCCTCTGATCCACAGGAGACATAGGGATAAAATAGCTTTGGCCATACTTCTCTTTTAACACCATTTCTGAGAATCTGTGGGGTGAGACCAATTGTGGATCAGTATGCATAGGAGAGTAATATATAGGGATAGCAATCAACTGGAACCTGTATGGAAATTCATTCTTGACCTACATATAGTTAGTTAACCTTTTGGTGGGTGTCCTATCTGCCTGCTTATTAAATTGAAGAGGTTATGAATAATTATTGGAACTTGTAGAAAATGTGTTTTGGACCTACGCATGATTACTTGGTTATATTGTTCTGGTGAGCATTCTATCTGTCTGTTTATTAAAGTGGAAATGTTGTAAATGGCTGCTGGTTTGTGAGTATATTTTTTATGATAATTTGCATTTATTAAGTGTGATATACTAAATTATGCGATCTTTTCTTCTCTTGTAAATACATCATATTGTGGTGGAGTAGAGCAAAAGAAGGGAAGAGCAGTCTAATCACCTATCCAACTGGAAAAAAACAGGGGAGTTCCCTGAAACTTGCCACAGATTGAGACTATATTGGACAAAGCATTGCATGACTTACTTAATTATAAGGAATCAGTATGATCTGGTAATCCTCCTTTACTTATCCAAGGTTTATTGGCAGACCGTTGTGGTCTACACAATTGATTGTTAACGAAAATATAGAAGACTTTTACATAGGAAATTATGGACTGGAATTTAATGGCATTTGGTTTGATGCAAGTTTAGCACATTTTTACCGATATGGGTGTAGCATCGCTGCAATTTCGCAGCTGTCCCCCACCGGCTCTAAGCATGAGAACTTCATCGTGGGACAGCTGATCGCTCAGTTTTTGGTCTTCACTGAGCATCCTGGGGTTGTATGTTGGCCTAGGACAGTGAGGGGTTCTGGAGTGCAGAGCAGTGTTGCCCAGAGTTGGGGGAGCCAGGAGAGTGTGGAAGACAGAGAAACTATTGCAGTGCTGTGGGCTGCACTTCAAGAAGCTTGCTATACCCAGAGAGCCACATGTGGACCAGGAGGAAGACCCTGCCAGGGGCGGACTGACAACTCATGGGGCCCTTGGGCAATAGGGGATCATGGGGCCCGTGTCCTTGCCCAAACTCAAAAAAGCCTATGAAAAAGGTACCAGGGGCATCTCATGGGGCCCCCTACTGACCCCGGGCCCTCGGGCAGTGCCCGAGTTTCCAAATGGTCAGTCCGCCCCTGGACCCTGCTATGCTGCTGTGAACAGAGGGTGAAGGGAGAGAGTTAGTACTGCAAGAGAATGACTCAGAGATGGGGAGATTGCTGCTGCTCCTGACTCCAATAGAGAGAGATACTGCTGCTGCTCCTGACTCTGAGAGAGGGAATGCTGCCCTCAAGAATTCACTGCAAACCCAGGGAGCTGTGAGAGGCTTGCCAGCTTCTTATCAGTAATTGACTGTTACTATTAGCTGTGGAGAGCTAGCTGTGCAATTTTGATTCATGACCCTTTAGATTACAAGTGCTCTTGCAAGAGAGAGTGAGTGCTCCAATAAAAGACCAAAGGGCCCCAACGCTGGCTTACTATACTTAAACACATTGGCCAGTGGTGTCGGTAATTTTCTGTTACCTTTTAGTTGGGCTGTTAGATCAGTTTCTTTTATTCCTAGTTGACTTATACCTTGTCATTGGTAAAACATATTATTTCCTTTATCAAGGTGTATTGGTGTTGCCTGTTTCTAAATTCATTTTTCATCCTTACATGGATTTGCTGTTTAATAAAGTCTATTTAAGCCTCAGGGTGGGTGGCAGTGGACTCAGCCAGGGTGGGTCAGTTCTGGAGATGCCCATTAACCTCCCTAGCGGTCTGATTATGTCCATATTTCTGTGCTCAAAGTGGTACATTTTTTTGCATGGAAATATGGATTTTTTTTATTGTAGGCCTGTAATTTTTAGGAATAACTCACTGAAATCTGTCCGAACAAGAGTCTAGTAAACATCCCGGGTATGTTAAAATTTGAAACACGAAATCATAAATTATAATTTAATAAAAAATAATAATAATATAATAATAATAATAATAAATTTAATTCAATAATATAATCAAACCAAAAACACTGAAATTTGAAATATAGCGCCAAGTTCGCACATCACTGAGCAAAGTCGCAGAATCGTTTTCAGTTTCTGATGACGAATTTCCCCACGAATCATTATCACTCAATTCTGCAAGTGGTTCTGATTTACTATCGCTGTTCTCTAGCCGGTCTAAAACCGATTTTGACCTAAAGGGACACTTTTTGGACGCCATGGACATTTCTCAGTTTCCAGGCAGAAAGAACGGTAAAAATGCAGGCAGGCACAGGACAAAGCACTCGGGACAAAATGTATGTGAAATGGTTTGATACAGTAATGTTTTACTATGTGATTTTAGTGAATGTCACTTTTTGTCATTTTCAAATTTCCAGCCAGTTCCGTCCCCTGTATGTCCCAACGCTCGCAGGGGACAGAACACAGATGACAGATGCTGGCATCTGCCGGATTACATTGCCGGGGACACTGCAGGAGGGACATGGCGGGAGCTCAGGACAAGGTAAGTGATCGAGGGATCCCGGAGCAGTTTTATTCAATGAACTGCTGCTCCTTCTCTAACCAATCACATGCTTGACCAAGCAGTATTGCTTTGACTACAATGGAGAAAAGTAAATGGTTAGGGTCTTCTATATTGTCTGGTAGTGCTGTCTGGATTAGAAAACTGAACAGAACTGAAATGCAGAGTAAACCGTTTACAAATGTAGGACTACTCCTGAAAATTTACTAGTTCTTTTTGTCACAGAGAGGCAGCCAGGCACCCACCAATATTCCATTCACTCAGATTCAATGAACAGTCCAGGGAATTTATCTTTTCGTGATTTATTTGCAGGTTGAAACTTAGGAGGGGTTTATGGGTGAAGTGAGATACTCCAAAACGGTTGAGAAATAGCAGCCCGGGCACATCTTTTCCTTATGTGAACGTGAATACTGAACAGTTTATTCCCTCACAGCTGTGAACCATAGGGTAAAATGTAGAACACATATAGCTAGTCAAGTTCATAGCTGGAAACCATCAAGAGCGTTAAAGTGCCACACTGAAAGGAAGATTTTATGTACAGTTCTGGTCTAGGGCCGTCCATAGGTGTAGCTCCTTTGGGAGCAATCCAGCATCCAGTCCCCGGTTCTCCAGAGGCAAGCAGCCCCTGTCCTGTTCAGCTCAGCGATCCATCACCTTGGAGGGGAGAAGAGACAGTCTCCTCAAGGCTCCACACTATTTAACTGTTCTGTAAGTACTGAAAGTACTGCTCTGTACTTTCAGAGGCAGGGGAAAGCAATCAAACTCCTAGCCAGTGCATCAGGCATCAACAGCAAGGCTCCTACTTTCCATTCATCATACAGCTGCATCAGAGGCTGGTCATCAGCTCTGAGGAAAGGGATTCGTCCCCGAAACGCGTCAGCCATTTGACTGCACTGACAGTGAGAACACCTTGCCTGCCGTTGTGGCCATTGTCATTTTTCTATGCTTTTTAGATACATTTTTCGTCTGTGAGTATGTTTTTATTATTCTTTTACTCCTACAATAAACCTTGGATAATGCACTAGGTGTGTGCGCCACCTGTTTTCCCTCTATCCTAGCCAGTGCAGCCCTGAGCATACACAACTAAATAATCATTTCTCCTTCAGTTACAGCAGGAGCCAAAAAATTTATTTTTCCTAGCAGCCTAACTAGGAGGGTGGTACACAAAAAAGAATTCCTAATGGCATTTAGCTGTGCCAACACCTACACTTAAAGTTCATTGAGCATCCTAAAGTTCATTTGAGATTTCCTTTTATTCCAGAAACAAAGCAGAGCTTGAGTGATGAGCAAGGAATATTGAACAGGAAAATCCTGCTGGTAAACAATCAGGAATTTGAGTGTGATCTATGTGGTTCTGATTCAGGATGAAGCTCTATCTCGGCCACAAATCACAAGCTTGTTTTGTCTGAGATCACAAAACATTGGCACAATGTGCCTGGATAGGAGCACAGTGAAAACCCTTTGGGGATTCTCTTAAGAGATTAGCATTAGTCTTGATTATTCATATCCTGAATTGCTTCCAGCACTTTGTTCTACAAACAAATATGGATTTAAGAGGATGGGAGTGAAGGAGACTATGGAAAGGATTAAAGATACAACAGCAGCAAAAATACTACATCTGCTTCCAGCATATGGGTACACTGTATAATGAGTTGGAAATAATGATGGTACAATCAACTTGCAGAACGGTAAGGTGATTTATTGACAGCAATTGAATTTGATGTAATGGTGTAAAGTTCCAGTGAGCAATGATTTGTCTGTGCCAATATGAAGTACCAAAATCGTGATATACTGTATATCTTGTGCAAAAAGCAATCACTTTAAGTACTGAAGATCAAGCCCAGGACATCTAACTAGCGTGGGCCTGCCTTTCCATTTGACTGTAATAGGCACATCTTTGGGTTCAATTGGTTGATTTGTTAATACAGACCACATTACATTGTTGAGTGATGGTTGCTGGCATACCTATAACAGACCATGTGATCGCTATGGGGTTCAAAGCACAGGGGTCCCAGCAGTGATTTATGCTGGGAGCTGCAGAATGTGGCAAATTCAGTTGGATAAAACGAATGAGTATATACAGTTAGGGAACTTGTATATGTACAATGAAAGTAATTCATATGCTGTATCAGTAAAGGAACAGATCAAAGAAGAAGGGTGGCCTTTTAGTGGCTTTTATATGGGCATGATCACACATAGTTATGACCCTGGTTGTGCCCCCAATATATCCTTCTTTCACAATAATTATAGTGTTGGAAAATTATCTTTTTAGTAGCCATCCCTCTCCCAGTTCCTCCCAAATATCTTATACTCACCTGTCCATATTCCTGCCAGGTCCACAATGTTCAGCCCACTGGGAGCTGCATAGTTGTCATTGGAAACTCCCCAAGCCAGTCCCTCGCTTCTTCATACACACACAAAAAAACACAATTTCATTCATTCCTAAGGAGAGGCCAACTATTATGCATCCTAAATAAAGCCATTCTCTCCATTGAAACAAATGTTTTTTTTCTGCACATGCATAGAAGAACTGAGGGGCCACATGGGACAGTTTGCAATGGTGGCTGTACAGCTTCCTGTAGAAATGGCAGAAGCATGGCAAGGTGAGCAAAATACTTTGGAGAGATCTTTGAAATAGGGAAACATATTGTATAATATTCCTAAATGGCCCAAAATCTGTTCCTCAACTTCATGCACAAGTGAAACATGCTTAGAACCAAAACTCTGCCTCAGTTGTCCTATTTCAGGCCAGACACAGACCCACCAGCGGACCTAGGAATGCTACCCCTTGACTGAGGAAAAACCAAATGGGAGGGCATGTAGGCATGATTAAATAAAAGTGGATTTGGCATTGTAAAAGTGCATGCAGCTTCATAAAATTAAAGTGTCTGTTTCCTACAATAGAAGAGCAGTTATACTAATTTCTCTGTTGGCTACCTTTGCTCCAAGTTTGCACTGCAGTTTTTGACAAACTCTTCAGCATTTGTCAGATACCTACTAACGGTAGCTCTAGAGCTCCACAGACCGGATTTCCCCAGAGTGCGGAGTCTAAGCCCCAATCTGCTTGTTCACCAGAGCCCCTGATAGTGGGGATGGACTTGGAGCAGACTGAGACCTGGTCGCCGCCCCTGGGTAAACCCAGCTGTAGTAGAGGGAACCGCCAGTGGCACGTAGCAGGATGAGAGCCTGATGTGAAGAGGCAGAGCAGGCCCAGACAGCAACGGATGGATCTGTGCAGGATGGATAGATGGAAAACACCGTGAAGCAGTAGCGAAGTCAGACAGGCCGGGTCAGTAACAGTGGAGGCGGAACAGTACAGAGCAGCAGGCAGAGAATGGTCAGGTCACAGGCCAGGTTCAGCAGCAGGAGGTCAGATAATCAGGAACAGGCAGAAGAATAGTCGAACGAGCCAGGGGTCAGGGCAGGAGACGGTCAACAGCAATCAGGGTCAGGCTGGGTCGGCAACAGGATACTCTCACAGGAAAACAGGATAACTTGGAAAAAGCAGGAACAAGACCATATAGCAACTTGAGAATGCAAGAATCGGTTTAAATAGTGCGCCCTGCGCTGTCATTGGTGCCAGGCATGCGCCCGTGTGTGCGAGTGCGCATGCACGGCCACGATTGTTGCCGCGGGCGCCTATGTTTGTTCGCATTA